AAACTGTTTTTATCTCACCCCATGGGTTTTTCTCACTTCTACTCTTCCAATTCTCTCCCGGGGGGGGGGGGGGAGGGTGAGCGAGCAGCTGTGTGGTACTTAGCTGCTGACTGGGGTTAAACCATGACAATATATTTTGAAGGTTCTTGAAAAATCAAATTTTTTTGTATCCCAATAAGAAGTTAGTACACATGTGTGTCTGTATGTCTGTGTGCATGCAGTGTGCATACATATAAATACAAATATATATATAAAATAAGTATGTATGTACAAGGGTGTGTACCAGGCTTAGACCACTGGCCCATGATGCTGATGTAGGGGTGAATGGAGGAGCATCAGGTTGCAGATGTGGAGTTCACTGTGCTCTCTGGACCCGTATTGCACCCCACTGCTGTGACTGCCCCGAGCAAGGAGGGATCCTGGAGGTCGCCCTGTTGGCTCCCATAGCGGACCCTTCTAAAGCATATCCACCTCAACAGGTTTTCTTGTCAAAGTTACTACCCCAAGCAGAGATCATTTATCATTTGGAAACAGCATGAACAACAGACTTCGTCAAGTTCCCTGCAACAGTACAAGCAATACGTCCACACTGAAATCTGTGGACGTAGTTCTGTAAAGCGCAGCCAAGAAATGACACACCTCATCAAGACTCCGTGGTATGGAGCAGTTCAGGCATTAGCGTGATGGGAGCAATGCTAACAATGAACCCTGCAGCCAGACACCCTACAGCCTGGACCCAGGGAGCGGTGGGCCAAGGGATGCCTCTCCCGCTGCCTGACACCGGAGGGATGCTCGGCGCTGACTGCAGCTGAGGAAATGTCAGCGCCGCTGCCCCAGCGAGGAGCCTTTCCTCTCTGAGTTACTGCAGAGCTGAGGCTGTGCTAGGGAAGAAGTTAATTAAGCTTCACAGCTTCCCCTCTGACATCTCTAAGCATTTACCTACATCATGGAGAAGTTGGGAGAGGTCTGCGCCAAAGCCCTCTTGACGCAAGTAGGGGTTTCTCCCCTTGGGCCAATATTCACTTGTCTCTCTAGGGAAAGGGCTTTGACATCTGGAGACAGAAGCTGCCATGGAAACGCAAAGTTTCATTAACTTCTGAACTGCATTATTTTTGCCGCCAGCCGTCATTCCCATCGGAGGCCGAGAGGTGCAGGTCTGTGTCCCCTCCGGCCTGGCGGTGGCACACGGACAGGTGTATCGCTCAGCTGCCATTGCCCCGAGGTTGGACTTCATCCTCTCCCCAGGGGGGCAGCGGGCAGGCACGCAAATGGCCCAGCCTGGATGGAGGTGGGAAAAGGGGCAAGGGGAACCAGCCCCTCGGGGGGGACAGGCCAGGGTGGTGTGGACGCTGCACGCGGCTGAGGGATGGGGCGTCCT